TTTAATCAACATTAGCTTTCGTAAGACTTCCAAGAACTGACATTTAAAGCCTCGCTGCTATGTTGTTCTGGGCAAGGTTTCATATTAAATAAATTGACAAATAGGAGCAGTCCACGATATCATATGTTTCCTTTAAAAAGGCTAATAAATAATAATTGTGCGTGTGACGGAGAAATACCGTTGTTCGAGTGAGTGAGTGAGTGAGTTGAGTTTTACGCCGCATTCTGCAATATTCCACCTATATCGCGGCGGTCTGTAAATAATCGGATCTGGACCAAACAATCCAGTGAACAATAGCATGAGTATCGATCTGCGCCATTGGGAACCGATGACATATGTCAACCAAGTCAGCGAGCCTGACCACCCGATCCCGTTAGTCGCCTCTTACGACAAGCATGGGTTGCTGAAGACCAATTCTACCCCGGATCTTCACGGGCCCCGTTTTTCGATCCCATGGCGTTAAAATGTTGCTTGTTGTTTCCCTGCCTTGCTCTCACCATGAAATGGTTGGCTGGTTGTTGTTTTACGCCGCACTCAGCAGTATTCCAGTAATATGGCGGCGGTCTGTAAATAATTGAATCTGGACCAAACAATCCAGTGATCAACAGCACGAACATCAATCTACGCGATTGACGTGAGTGAGTGAGTTTAGTTTTACGCCGTACTCAGCAATATCCTAGCTATATGGCGGCGGTCTTTAAATAATCGAGTCTGGACCAAACAATCCAGTGACCAACAGCATGAACATCAATCTACGCGATTGGGATACGATGACATGTGTCAACCAAGTCAGCGAGCCCGACCACCCGATCCAGTTAGTCGCCTCTTACTACAAGCTTGGGTTACTGAAGACCAAGTCTAATCCAACATTAAATGAATAAAATATGACTGACTGACTGACTGAGTTTGGTTTTACGCCGCTTTTAGCAATATTCCAGCAACATCACGGCGGGGAAACCAGAAATGGGCTTCACACATTGTACCCATGTGGGGATTCGAACCCGGGTCTTCGGCGTGACGAGCCAACGCTTTAACCACTAGGCTACCCCACCGCCCGAATAAAATATGAACTGAGTTTGTTTCGGTGTCAATTTGATGTGTCGGGAACAAACAGCATAAGTGTAAACAGTTAGCGAGAAACGGATTAATTTGTTTCTCTTGAACTGTATAGAAAAGAACCAACATTTTCCTTAATTTGTTTAAGGGGCCGGGGGGTAGCCTAGTGGTTAATTGGTTAAGAACAACAATATCCCTAAGGCACTAGAGTATTGGCAGTGTATTAAATAAGCCAAAAATCCAGCCAGACATTAGGGCTGGTAACTTCAAAGTGTTACCAGCCCAAAATGGATTTAACCAGACCAAATATGGTGACTTTACTCGATGTATGGAACATCTAAAAAAATTACCAGACCATCGGGCTGGCTAGCTGTAAATTTAGACCGTCCGTCAGAAATCTAGACCGTCTCAGGCGGTCGGACGGGCCTTATTTCATACACTGGTATTGGAATACAGTCTTTCAGCAGGATATAATTTGGAGTGATGTATTCAGATATTACAGGAAATGTACAAATGACTGTAATCTGTTAGATTTTTAGTACAGAAGCGTCTAAAAGCGGCGTAAAACTAAACTCACTCACTCATTTAATTGTCTAAGGTGAGAGAGTGAGTGAGTGAGTCTATATGATGAAGCAAATAAATACGCCTTGTTAAGTGCGTGTGCACTAGGCAGTTCTTTGTCAGGGTAATTATTTACACATTGCGCAACAATTGATGATATAACATCTTTGAGCAGTTTTCCCACTGCACCTGTGATTGTCCTCATTCCCTAGAAGTGATTGAGTGAGGTTTTACGCCGCTTTTAGCAATATTCCAGTAATATCACGACGAGGGGACACCAGAAATGGGTCTCACTCGTTGTACCTATGTGGGGAATCGAACCCGGGTCATCTTCGTGACGAGCAAACGCTTTAACCACTAAGCTACCCCGCCCCGCCCCTCGTCGCTTATAAAAGCAGCGTCATCAGATTGTCCCTTTGAGCCAAAGAACGTCAATTGAGATGCATAGTTACATCGTTGATTGAGTACAGTTTTTATCGAAATAGAATTGAGACATCATACACTGGTTAATCAAATGAGTAGCGAATTTCATCAAGATAATTTGAGTATCTATTTCAAGCCATCTATCCAATTCATATTTGTTCAGTGGTCAATTACAACTTCATCCGAATCAGGTCTGTAATAGCTCGACCATTGACCATTCTCAGTCCAGACGGAAAGAAATCTAATGAAAGCAAAGGATCTGATCTCAACGAGGATGAATCTCGTGCATTTTGTATAGCTAAGCTTCTTCTTTAGTTCTTTTTTCTTCATTTTGAAGCATAAATTTTGTTTAATGTAAATTTCAATCGGAATGGGTATTTTTAGTCGAAGGTACACCTGCAGAATACCGGATACCTACCAACCATTCTTTAGTGCTACCTGCACTTTCTTTTTAGGGAAGCACGAGCTGTAATATTCGAGTGAATGAGTGAGTGAGCTTAGTTTAACGCCGCACTCGGCTATTTTGCAGCTGTATGGCGGTGGTCTGTAAGTAATCGAGTCTCGACAAGACAATCCAGTGATCAACATCATGAGCGTCGATCTACGCAATTGGGAACCGATGACATGTGTCAACCAAGTCAGCAAGCCTGACCACCCGATCCCGTTAGTCGCCTTTTACCACAAGCATGGGTTACTGAAGATGAATATTTCAACCCAGACCTTCACGGGTCGAAAATGAAAGGTAAGTTATTACAAATAAAACATATATACGTCTTTGAAAAAACGGAGCTACGGAATTCTGGGAGTTGGAGTGAATGTGCGTGCTAACCCTAACTAGCCCTAGCCCTAGCCCTAGCCCTAGCCCTAGCCCTAGCCCTAGCCCTAGCCCTAGCCCTAGCCTTAACCCTAACCCTAACCCTAGCCCTAGCCCTAAACAAAACTTTATCCCTGACCATATTCGTTAAACTAACTCGAGTCGAGTTGCGCACATAGTTTTCGCAGTTCTTAAGTTTTTAAAGATCGCGGAAGGTATCCGGTATTCGGCAGCCTTTCCAAGATAAAATAAAACTGCGGCGTAAAACTAAACCCACTCATTTATGTCGTAACTCTGCTAGTAGACCAAGTTTACTTGCTACTGAGGTACTTTGAGGATTGAAAAAAGACAAACGAGAATATTCGTCGAGCTGACGGACAATTAGTCCTGAAGCAAATATATCCAAGAAACGTAAGTCTTGAAAATGTGGCAAGTCCAGATTTCCACAGCGAAGAAAGTCTCAGGGCTCCTTTTCATTATATTTATTTATTTATTTTACTATGATACTTTCTTTTCTGTAAAATATGTTCATTTCAGATACTAGTTGACCTCTTCCATTGAAAAAAATACATGTCCAACAGAACACCAGCATTAAAACCCAAATGTCGAGAAAAAAGAACAGTGTCCACTAGGAAATCAACCTCAGAAAAAAGGGATTATAATCGCCTCAAAAAAAGAGAATCGAGAGAAAAATTACCACTCAAAAAAAGAACTGGATGAAAAAGAAAGGAGGTACATGCCAAGTTCCTTAAAGAAATCAGTAGCAATGTACGTTTCAGTACATTTGCTGCATTGAGGCCCAGGAATGTCCGTCTACTTTCCAAGACGCATAGAGAGTATTGCATGCGCAGTTATTGTAGGAACATCCGGAACAAGCTGCTCTGTTTAGAGTCCAAACTGGTAAATGAAACCAATCTGTTGTACATTCCTCTGTGTCCAAAAGCCACCAGTGAGCGCTTCTTTGCACCGGCATGCCTAAAGGGGAGTTGTCCTTCCTGTTCCAACTACAGGGCAACTTTGCAGAAAAGGTATGAAAGCATCTCACCTGAAAAACAGCTGTCATAGAATAGATGGGAGAAGATTGACGGCAAAGTTGTATTAATCACCAAGGTTGGCAACAAGGCAAAGTTGCTGAAAGAGTTTGTGGACGAAGACATCCAGAAGCCAAGCCAGGGTACCACGTTCCTGCAGCACTTACACACAGCCCAATGGCAAGAGGACCAATTCTCTCTTATTAAAACACATCTGCCTGATAACTGGTGTCTCCAAGTCATGGACTTATAAATTGAATTACATGGAGGAATTTGCTATCAGGAGGAAGTGAAGAATGCCTTTTTCACCAACACTCAGATAACGATACATCCCATTGTGAGTTATTATAAGAAGGAAGGCCAATCTGAACTGGTGAGGGAATCATCCATCATTATTTCAGAAGATCTGGTTCATGACTTTCATGCAGTCAAACATTATAAGTCTATAGTGGATGAACACCTGGAAAGGCAATCAGGTTCGATGCCTGAGAAGTTTGTAGTTTTCTCAGATGGATGTGGTGCCCAATACAAGTCAGAGGGACCTTTTTCTGACTTGTCTATGCAAGAAATACCTACATCAAAAAATTACTTTGGATCAGAACATGGCAAAAATGAATGTGATGGAGAGACTGGGATATTAAACAGGGCTGTAGATAGGGCTATCATTGGCAAGAAGGCTGTAGTTACCAGTCCCTTAGATTTGCATCCATACTGCAAAGAAAACTTGGAACTAGATGGAAGGCTGTCCAAAAGAAAATATTTCTTTGTCAAGCATGGTGAGATCTCAAGAGAAAGACCAGAATCAAATGTTAAACCTATCAAGAAGACAAGACAGATCCATAATATAGAGAACACAGGCACCAATTATTCCATCAAGTCAAGAAATCTGTCATGTTTTTGTCAGTCATGTTTGGATGGTCACACAGATGCTTGCCTTAACTTGAAGTATGTGGAGGAATTCAAAAGTCATACACTGTCTTTGATTCCAGAATGGTTGTCAAAAGAAGATATGAAAATGGAGACTGAAGTATTTGGAAAAAATGAAACAGAAAAGAATAAAGGAAGAGATAACTTGAGGCCAAATATAAGCTGTAAATCAGGTGAAAATGTTAGAAGAGATGTCCCCAGTCAAACTTTTCATCAAGAATCAAATGAGATCACGACAGATTTTCAGACAAAAAAACATGTCTAATAGTGGCAAGAATAAGAGTAAAACACAGAAAGCTGAAACTAAAACATGGAAATCACTGACAATGGATGGGAATCTGTACCAAAAGATATTGGCAAGCAAAAGTTTTGAAGAGCTTGAAGTACTGGCTGAAGAACATCATGTTCTCCCAATTGCAGAACCACCAGAAGTTACGGTCTTCACACACAAACGAACTGTAAACAGGGTTTCCATGTCATTGGTTCCTAATGATGATGACAGTCTGCTTGATATGTTTCCAACTCTCATATATGGAGATGGAAACTGTTTGCCTAGGTGCGGAAGTTTGTTTGCCTATGGCTCTGAAGATAAACATATAGAACTTCGCATGAGAATAGTTCTTGACCTGGTACATAATAAGAATGACTATTTACAGACGCCATCAGCTAAGAAGTTTGCAATGTTTTCGGATTTATACATGGGTGAAAAGTTAACACCAGATGCGATAGAACAACTATTAGAGCAGGAAGTACTTGCTATCAGTGAGATTGGAAGTTTCATGGGGGCATGGCAAATGGCTGCTTTATCAAATGTACTTTCCTGACCGGTGTGTTCTGTGTACTCAGTATATGGGGGTCAAACTGTTAGGAACGACCTAGACCGACTACTCTTCTTGCCTTTGGAGAACCATTCTCAACTGACACCTGTTCACATAATGTGGACTAACATCCATGGCAGTAACATTCCACAAAATCAATGGCGACCAATTCACTTTGTAACCATGATGCCTTTCGCGCCAAGAACAGAATCTGCAGTTGTCGAAGAAGACAGTACATCTGTACTTGGCGATACAAGAAACCTGGTATGAAATTACATAAATTTATTTTGCTTTCAGTATTCCCAGTATAGATTGACAATGACTTAATCAAAAAGTGATATAATAATATGAAAAATATAGTTTTCATTTGTAATGTAAACACCTAAAATCTCAACGCTTTGTTTTCTATTTCGACTTTCCATAACAACTTGCTAAACTTAATGTTACAACAATTATTGATGTTCTTTTACCCATTGAGTGGTGATATGTTCAAGTGACCTACTAACTGTATTTGGTAGAATTTTACCTTTACCTTTTAGGAATGTGACACAGTGGCGTTTGATGATTCCGCTGATGCGCTGAAAGGGGATCTCGATATATCATCTCTTCTTTCCAATTTGGTAAGTTGTTTTATTTGGACTTAAGTTAATGAGAATCTATAATTATAGGTACCAATATAAAAATAATTCGGGAAATTATCCTTTTATAGCTCAAAATAAATTTTTAAAACTATCAGTATATATCTGTACACTGATTTCTTGAACTACAGATAATTTAATCTTGATGGAAATGAAATGTATATTTTCAGGAATGTGACACCATGGCATTTGAAGATTCTGCATTTGAGGATTCCGCTGATACGCTGAAAGATCTCAACATAACATCTCTTCTTTCCAATTTGGTTCGTAAGTTTTATCATCAGAATGAATATGTAGAAATATTGGTATACTGATTTCATACATCATAAATCAAAATCCCAACAGGCTTTGGTAAGATCATCTTACTGAAATATTGTGATACAGTTATTTGTTCAATTTTGCTTTATTTCAAATGTATTGAATAATCAAATGCTAAATATTAATGAATCATCCAATGCTAAATATTATATTTAATATTTGCAGGATTGTGACACCATGGAGGTGGGTGATTCCTCAATTTCAGATAACCGCATTCACAAACCAAAAGCAAACAGCAAGTTCCAAAATCCAGAGGTATGTGTTTGACTTTTATTTCTTTTTGAAAAAAAATACCCTCTCTTAGCAATATCTAATAATAACTTTAGACATGAAGATTTCTAGTTTTACTGTGTAGATCACAATTTATGTGAAGGCACTCGTAAGTAAAAGGTTATTGTTAAGTTGAACAGCTGTTATTTCATTGTATGTTGTTTTACATATATTTCAAATTTTTATACTATGAATATTTTCTAATGGTCTCAGTCGTGAACATTGTACATAAGATTAACTTAGTCAATAAAAAACACATGTGCCTTTAACAACTTGAAAAAAATTCCTTGAACGTTATGTGTATAATGATTTCATTATGATTTTATTAATATTTGTAAACAAGCATTTCAATTTTTTCTGAAACAAAAACAAACAAAAATACATTTACGCAGTAATGTCAAATAGTGATTAATGTGTCCTTCAACTGTTAACTGATAGGAAGTATTATACTTGGATCGTTTTTTAGTTGTTTGCTTATGTTTTCATTTATGCTAAGTTTATATTATTAATTTGAAATTTGATACACAAATGAATGACTTATGTCTAATTAATACATGAAATCAAAACACAATTGGAACTTGAAAGTCACTTATACCGTGAATCAAGATAATCTGAAATAAGTTGACACAAGTTATGCTTTCACCTTGATAATTGCTTTTCGGCCCTATCAAAATATTGTAAAGCTTTAGCCTAATTTATGAATAAACCATGACAGAGACAAGACAGTAATAATTTTGTTTAATTCCAATGGGATGGCTGTGTCATGATACTAATATCTGAATTGTTATATCATTTTTGTCTCAGGTTGTGGAAAACCCAGATCAGCAAGAATGCAGTTCCCTTGGTGCATGGGTTCAGTTTTATGAAGAGAAGAGGTTATGGAGTCTAAAGGAAAAGAAGCTTTTTGTTTGTTATGAAGATATTGTTGGACTCATATCCCAGCCTAAATTGTTCATGTTAGGCTCACGTGTATACTATGATTTTTAACAAGCTCTCTGTGCTGAACATAGGCTTCCTTAAACACTGATCATTGTGAACCCTGAGCTGATCAGATGTATTGTTGCAATTACACCTCAGCTACATTGTACTGAAGTGAAATCTGTCCATTCCTTGTCAGGAAGACCATTCTCAGTGAATTGTTTAGTAGACTATTTTAAAATGTTTCTCTCCACTTTTTCAATTGGCAAAGGGATAGAAGCACTGATTGTTCCAAAATATATTTGGTAAACATATTATTGTTACCATTCTTTTGAAAATTGAAAATGTACCTATATATTATAAGTTGTATGCTTCTCTCGAGGGTAATACGGTCAGATGTACGCCTCTTTGTAGCAGTGTTACCCGATCCGGTAGATGAGGCCGTATTACACAAGGGAGAGGTTTACAGCGTATTTATCTTACCGCCATGTTAAATGTACAAAATATCATAAGCCCGTTACTACCGATTGCATGACAAAATGGCGTCGACCTCACGAATGGATTTTTAAAATCATTGAAATATTCCGAAAAGCTACAACTGCTATAAAATGGTTAATTATGATTATGTTGAGTGTGCAAACGATTCAGTGTATATAATAGTTTAAATAAAGCGGTGAAAGTTTGTACAATTAATGTGTACATACTACATTGTGAACTCAAAAATAGCTAAGTGATTGGTTTTCGAACACTGTCACTGCATCTTGTTATGACATCATGCAATTGTTAGTGATACAGCTTCTCCGCAGAGAGTTTCAGGGTTACCGTGGCAGCGGGTAATATTTTTCCCAGTTGTCACCCTCCTTGAAGGGGGGACATGGAACCTTGTTTAAGTGTCATTGACCAATGAGGCTTAAGTATTTTACATGAAGGTAAGATAAAATGATTTGTAAATAATCGAATTGCATATCTGGCTATTTGGATTAAATATCTGTAACTGTTATTTGGTTGTGAATAACCATATTGTTGTGATATATATCTCCAGTGTTCTTCTTTTCTTGTGTTGTTCTCTGTTGTATGGCTGTTACAAAATTAAATAGGTGAAACTAAATTCATCATATATATATATATATATATATATATATATATATATAACTCACACCCAAAAGAAACGCAAGTCTAGTATAAAGTATATATGTTCTTATTTTTTAACAGTATAGAATACAAATACCAACATCGTCAGATATACATAAATTTGAGCAAGAACAGTTCCTTGGCAACAAAAACAGATGACGTCATTACATTTTGTGACAGGATACCCATCCAGGATACCCATCAGCAGATGTTTTAATACTTTTAAAAGTTTTAATTCACATTTTTGACACAAAATCTATATATTCTGCATGATGTAAGTTCTCGCGTGGCTTTAAATTCCCGTTCAGGCTGGTTGTTCTCGTGCACCCTGTAATTCCTCGCATGTCCTGTAAGTTCTGGATGCTATCATACACCCTGTATATGTTCTCGTGCACCCTGTATATGTCCTCGTGCACCCTGTATATGTTCTCGTTCAACCTGTATATGTTCTCGTTCAATCTGTATATGTTCTCGTGCACCCTGTATGTTCTCGTGCACCCTGCATATGTTCTCGTGCACCTGTATATGTTCTCGTTCACTCTGTATATGTCCCCCGTGCACCCTGTATATGTTCTCGTGCACCCTGTAAATGTTCTCGTGCATCCTGTATATGTTCTCGTGCACCCTGTATATGTTCTCGTTCTCGTGCACCCTGTATATGTTCTCGTGCATCCTGTATATGTTCACGAGCACCCTGTATATGTTCTCGTGCACCCTGTATATCTTCTCGTGCACCCTGTATATGTTCTCGTGCACCCTGTATATGTTCTCGCTCTCGTGCACCCTGTATATGTTCTCGGGCATCTTGTATATGTTCTTGTGTGTCCTGGATGTTCTCGTATAGCTTATGGATTATTTTTAGTCTCGTGGACTCTCATGCACCCTCTGTATTTGTGATTCCGATGTGGGAGGCCCAGTCGTCTCGGACGCCGCAGCGAGCTATGCTCAGTCGCGTCCCTTGTGTGTGACATGATCAGCTGATCGGTTTCTATATTCACTCTTATCATGATCGTTGTGTTGTAAGCACCATGCTGTTGTCGTCGTCAGCGTCGGTATCGCCGAAGTTGTAAACGCCTGTGACGGTTCGTTCGTTCGTTCGTTCGTATGTTCGTGCGTTCATTCATTCATTTCGTAACCCTGCCAGAAAGCCAATATTAATCAGCATATGTTTACTTGTCACTGACATACTTTGAAGACTGGAACACGTAGGGGTGGGTATTGCAGAGATTTTCATATTGCAATATTGCGATGCGAAAGCATATATCGCGATATGTATTGCAATATATTGCAAGAAGTTTTTTAACAAAAAACTACTTATCATCGAGTTAATTTAGCATCAACACAGTGGTTCAATCCAAAATGCTGCCATACTGAAGCCTTTGCCCCAGTATTTCACAATAAATTGTTCGTTGTTGGGGAGGTGCCATTTTGCAACAACCGCATGACTTCCCGTGTGAAAAACGGAAATATCCGAAGATTTCCGAATGTTACGAAGTTTTCCGAATGCATGCCAAAATACCGGTTTTCGATCAGCATAGCGCAATACGTATCGTGTTCATGTCTGAACCGGTAAAACCGGTAAACCGGTTATATTCCGCAGCCCTAGTAATAAGACAAACGAGAACAGGTATATCGTAGGCACTTTGACGTGATGTGGGTTTTATCAGTGAATATAGACATGTTTTGTTTATATTTTCTTTGAGTTAAGTTAAAGTTGTGTTATCTAAATCTAAATCACAGTGCTGTCAATATAAATCGAATAAGAGCAGCTTATTATCATGACCTTCAGCACAGCCATGTACCGGTCAGCTGCGTGTAAATAACCTTAATTAACCTTAGAGTAAGACCGGTCGGGCACGGAAGTTTAACATTGTGAATGGGGTGCTGGACACTGCAGGCTGACCATACATGTATTGTAGTACGATACAGATCAGCCTGACAGTCAGTAGTACACATTGCATTCTTGTTGTATGAGGGACTTGACCCTCGGACAGCGGCCAGGCAGGTGAGCTGACGATCGCCTCTGTGATGCTGTGACTCCTTACTCTGTTACAGGCTTTCGATTTTGTATCGTCGAATCTGTAGCAGAATTAAGCAAGAATTGTTTACGATGAAAGAAACTGGAAGGAAACGTTATTAAGGCAACATGTAGCAGTAGGAGTCTCGTGGATAAAGCCTACGCTTTAACCACAAGGCTACCCCACCGCCCCTCGTAACACCGAACTCCTGGGGCCCGTTTTACGTAGCGATCGTAGCGCTACGACTGTCGTAAGTCTATGTTAAAGCATGGGAGTTACATATCACCTTAGCGCTACGATAGCTTTGTGAAACAGGACATTGGTTCGATACATGATGTGGTTACAATGCCTGAAGCTGAGATAGTGTGACATAAAAGCTCGCTCATTATAATCGAAATACTGCCGTTCTACGTGAAATATTATCACAATATTTTATTACTATATTTGCGCACAAATAACACTTTCATAGCGATCTGCAAAGTCTCCGCCCACCCACGCGTCCACGTTTAACCGCTCCTGGGGTAAAGTCAACACTTATCATACAGTGATACAATTCTATGTTCAACATGCTGAATCATGCTATGATTCAGTGCAACAGTACTACAATGCCCGATACCGTGCTGTTTAAGTACTCATAACATTCATAGGGCAACAGCTTGACCTTCATGTAGATTTTGAAGTACGTACTTTGGTGTACATTTCAGGTTGAAGTTATTATTCAGCTCTCGACTTCTAAACGTGAATTATATTTGACAGTTTTGGATCAAATCAACAACACGAGATTACGACTGCGTTAAGGACTTTGAGCCTCATAGGACGATAAGGGGCGGTGGGGTAGCCTAGTGGTTAAAGCGTTCGCTCGTCACGCCTAAGACCCGGGTTCGATTCTCTACATGGATACAGTGTGAGAAGCCCATTTCTGGTGTCCCCCGTCGTGATATTGCTGGAATAGTGCTAAAAGCGGCGTAAAACTAAACTCACTCACTCACCCATAGGATGATAAATATCCGACTTCGTAAACCCTTAACTGTTTTTAACTGTCAAGGTAATCTTTTTTCATTTTCTATAGGAATTTGGCTGGGTTGTACTGTTTGAGAAATTCACAGTGAACAGAAGCTTGTCGGTGTGATCGGGTGGTCAGTGTTTTTGGCTGATTACATGTCATCGTGCCCCTATGGCAGTGTGCGAAATAGTTTCCAAATTTTGCTTGCCAGTCGGACTTGCTTTGCCTGATAGTTACTAGTCCACAAAATAATTCACTAGCCCGAATGTAGAAACTAAGCAAAACATTGCAAAAATAGATGAGAATAAGATATTGTCGGCATGACACGGATTTCATCATTAAGTTGCTAATATCATGAACATATAATCAGGCCATAATTCTGCATGATTTAAAAGTGTATTATAACTTAACAAGTTCGAGAGAGTGATATATTTACAAAATTAACCCATGAAAATTCACAAGCCAGTCGGACCAGTGATTCTGGAAATTTACTCGCCCGACTGGAGTTTTACTAGCCACGGGCTAGCGGGCCAGTGGCTATTTCGCACACTGTCCTATGGCGGGAAAAGTCTCTCATGCTATCAACCATTGCCCGATTTACAAAGACTAAGCTGATCTTAGATTAATAATTATCAAGGCGATACGATTTCTTACCCCATCGCATTATCCGTTCTAAGGGTTGCGCTGAAACAGGATAAATGAGTTGAGTTTATGTGACGTAGTGGAATATTACTCCATTATCGTACACAGTATATTTATAAAATACGGTTATTACGAACTGAAAGTTGTGTTCGTTATAACCGTACTAAACCGACTAAAACATACAGCAAGTGATCACAGCAAAACGAATAGCTAGTTATATTCGACATTTGGTGTTGTTCGTCCTGAAAGTAGTTTAAAGTACTATTGGAGAAAATGATATCAGAATGTTTAATCTTCTAAAATGAAGTTGAACATTCATGCAATAATGCTTAACTACCCGAAGAGGATCGGACTGACAACTGGAATTAAACGACACAAATAGTCATTTAAAGCACAGACCTAACACGAATCGTACATCATTGAAAGGTCAAAATTTAACGATTAAATATTCGTTAAAAGGTTATATGCAAATTCTGAAAAGAGGACCTAGGTCGTTTATACCCATGCTTGTCTTAAGAGGATCGGGTGGTTAGGCTCGCTGCCTTGGTCGACACATCGTATCCCAAATGCTTAGATCGATGCTCGTGGTGTTGATCACTGGATTGTTAACAGACCGCC